ACACACACACACACACACACACACACATACACATACATCGTGTGTGTATGTGTGCATGTGTGGGTGTGTGTAGGTGTATCGCTCGCCTAATTAACTGACCTATTCCATTGATAAAAACTCTCGTCTTTCTACACTAATTTAATTTTTTTTGTGATATTAAAGAAAAAAAATTTTTTTAATCCGTCTGGTAATTTCAAGAAAAAAAGAGAGGAAATCATAAATTTAATTTATCATTTATTATTTAAAATTTATTTATGGAAATGCAAGAAAAATAAATGGAATAATTAATTATAGTACAAGTTCACGAAAATTTCTTCAATATTTTTTCTTTTTTTGTTTTCTCTGAAAAGAACAGATGCGATTATGGTGTGTGCTAGAGGAATAATTTCGATTAATTTTACAGAAAAAGGTGAATTCTTTACCGATTTGAATAGTTTAAAAAAATTTAGTATATTTTACATGCAAGTTTTAGTACTTAATATAAGATCATTGAAAAAAATAAATTATAGAAAATTTATTTTAAACATTAGCTTTCAGAATGAATTATAAACATATGTTTAAAAAAAAATGAAAGTATTTGAAGAGAAAATTTTATAACATGTGCAATGTCGATGTTTGATTCCTACTGATCGATTAAAGACTTCACGAAATTTGACTGACCCTAAATGCAATGGCTAATTTGGCAAGTAGATAAGCCTATAGTTAAGATTAAATATAGCTCTTGACGATCAGCAATTACGGATAAAAGTGGGAGAAGCAGAGGAAAAAAAAAAACCAAATGACCTCTAACAGAATAACAAAATTATTAGCATGAATGATACACTTTTTGATAATCTGAAATCACTCATTCGATAATTTATTAAATTAATAAATGTACGAGAACGAAGAAGGAATGCACCATAAGTAAATACGATTAAGGGATAATATTAGCTATCCCTTAACCATATTTAATATTAGCTTTGTATACTTTTACAGTAAACTTGTCCGCTGCATTTGTTTAGCAAATAGTATAGAATGATCGATGACTAAAAAAGAAGTATTTGCTAATGAAATATTTGCATTTAGCTCACCTGACACTTATAATTCTTTTTTCTTGATGAACTTCAACTCTTTCTGTCGGGATTTAGAATGCGCCATTATGACGTACGGCTATACTCATCCACGAAGGATATGCAATAGTTTTTTGTAAAAAGTTGACGATAATGTCCACTCGTACCGAGAACACAAATGTTTGATCTTTCGGTTTTTAATTCTATGAAATTAATCTTTTTTTTTCGGATCATTTAATATCACACATTGAAATTGTCTATATTATTCTTGTTAAATATACAAATGATATATCAACATACTGCTTTTTTAAAAATATGATAATCAAATGAATTCAATCTTTTTTCCTTATTGCTAACCTCTCTCCCTATCTCTCTCTCTCTCTCTTTCTCCCTTTCTCTCCCTCTTTAAAACACTTGCTTCCGTATTTGCAATCATTCAACAATTTTTTTAATTGTTAAACGGAAATAAATTTTGCAATTATCAATGATTTTTTAAATATTTTGTAAATCAAAAATTTATTTGTTTCAAATGCTCATAATTTTA